ATTTATAGATGACAACATCATCTTGCTACAATATAAAGTGTTTGGACATGCCTGTAAGAGGATTATTAACCCATTGTAGGTTGCTGTGCCACAAGACAATCTTATAAAAGCAATAACTTGCCAGGCGGTGGTGGCGCATGCCTTTAATCCCAGCACTCGGGAGGCAGAGGCAGGCAGATCTCTGTGAGTTTGATGCCGGGCTGGACCGACAGCCTCCAAAACAATACAGAGAAACCCTGTCTCGTAAAACCAAAAAGAAAAAAAAAAGAAAAAAAAGCAATAACTTACTAATTGCAGGAAACAGAGGAGGTTGAGGTGTTGGGAGGTCTGAAGTTAATGACATTGATGACTAGTTCATCAGAACGCCTCTCATTTGACAAGTGAGAAGCCTTGGTATTCCATAAGAATGTTAGGAAGGAGAGAAGCACTGCTTGCCATCCTTCCCCCACTCTCAAATCCTGTTAAAGAGAAATCTGTCATCATTTAATTTATAAAAAGAAAACTTCATTAGGTTATACCTTCCGTTAAATAAAGTGTACCCACTTGTATACTTGATAAGGCTTGTCAAATTCATATATCCCTGTCACCACTGCCACAATCTAAAACAGGTCTTTTCATTAACCTAAATGTTCCCATTTGCCCACACATAATTAATCTACCACCTTGGTCCCAATCTAGTCTCTCTCTTTTCTATCTGTACAGAATTGTTTTATTTATCCTAGAATATTTTCTCCTACCATGATATTTTTGGAATTCATCCAAAGTCATATCAGTGATTTATTTCTTATTATTTCTAACATGTGCTACATTCATTAATGTGCCACAGTGTGTTTATCTTTTTATCTGTGGGTGGACTTTAGTGTTGTTCTAATTTGGTTCTTCTAAGAAAAAAATCTGTAAATAATCCCTGAATATTCTCTTGTGTACACATGCTTTATTTGCATTGAGGTAGTATACAAGTAAAGATGTTTTTGCAATAAAATTTGTGATGATTTTTTCATTAGTATTTGTTTAGCATTTGGGACATGTTCATGCTTTGGCTTATGTATGGTCAGAGGATTTCCTGTGTTGTTTTCTGTTGCTGTGATAAACACTTTAAACAAAAGCATCTTGTGGGGAGTGGGGTATTCCACTTTCCAGGTAAGAGACCATCGTTGCAAAGTGAAACGGCAAGACCTCAAATCAAGAACTTGGGAGAAGGAACTGAAGCAGACACTATGGAGGTAGTGTCCTTACTGGCTTGTTCCCCGTGGCTTGCTTGCCTTCATTTCTTATACAATTAGAGATCATATTTCCTCACCTCTCACAGTGTTCTAGGCTCTCAGAAATTCTGGATCTGGAGTTATAGGTGGGTGTAAGCCCCACAACTTGGGTCCTCAGAATTGAACTCAAGTCATCTGGAAGAAGAGCATGTGTTCTTAACATCTCTAGAGCTCCAAACTATTTAAATAATGGGTATGTAGTGTAATCACATGATTATAATTTCATTGTTGGTTCAGTCTGAAAAGCGTTTCAGAACTTACTGAAGAAATAAAGTTGGAAATATTTATTGGAGATATTTTAATATAGGTATAAGTAGAGGGTTAAAAAAAATAACAGCCCTCAGAAGCAAGTAAGATATACCCATGAGTGGAATATGGGTTTCCTTCCAAACTGAAAATAGGTGGATAGGTAAGATGAAAATATGATGTAATCAAGGATGGGTATAGGATTCTCCAGGGAAAGAATTAATTTTAGCTCAAGGGAAAGCTATTAATTGTCTGAGCATTAGCCAAATATTTCACATTGGTAGCACTCATTTATATATCCAACAGTTGCTAAGAACTCCCCCATATGCACACATCCTTTTTCTTTCATTTAATAAGCAAGATAACTGAGGTTTCTTTAGAAAATTGGAGTTTGGTGGAATAACCACAGACCAGTAGGGTTGCATTTTTAAGTTACTTTTCAAATAACTTTTTAAAATACTTATTTATTTTTATTTTCTTGTATGTATGTCTATATACCAGGTGTATCTTTGGTGTACATAGAGGATAGAAGAGGATTTGTCCCTGGACAGAGAGCCAGATGATTGTGAATCGCCAGTTGGGTGCTGGAAATTGAACCTGGGTCATCTGTAACAGCAGTCTACATTCTTAACTGCTAAGACGTTTCTCCAGCCACAAATTGAAAATTTTTGTTGAATATTTTTATATGCTTAAACATCTCTCAGATATTTCAGTGAAGTTTCTGTTCATAGTTTTTTTTTCATTTTAACTCCTTCATTATCTTCTTATTATTGATTTTCAAAAATCATTTTGTTACATATCTCAAAGGTTAGTCACTATGTTAGTTACTTTTCTATTCCAGTGATAAACACCATGGCCAAGGGAACTTATAAAACAGTGCATTTAATTTGGCTTACTGTTTCTGAAGCTTAGAGTCCATGATGGCGCAGTAAAGGCATAGTCACAAGAGCAACTGGGAACTTATATCTTGACCTGTAAGCAGGAAACAAGTTGACACTGGGAGAGGCATTTTGGAAATATCAAAGCATTCCCTCAGTGTCACAACTCCTCCAATAAGGTCACTCATCCTAATCTGTCCAAACAATTTTATCACATGAGGATAAAGTATTCAAACCTATGAGAGTCATTATTATTGAAACAACCATAGTCATTTTTAATGTTCATGAAGTTCAAATTTCTATGTTTTGTTTCAGATTTTTGTGGCTGAGATATGAATGTCAGTTATGAAAATATTAGTTACCTGCTGAATATATGGAGTAATATATGTTTACACCTTTTAAGTGATTGTACATTAGTTCAAATATCATTTCTTAAATTATAATGCTTTTGTGATTTAATTCATTTTTCACCCTTATCTAAAATCAGTTGACCACATATGTGAGGGTCAGTTTGTAGAAATTGAGATGTGAAATGTGTTTGATTTTTTTCTGGTAAGTGCAATGATAGTCTGCTTTATGTAACCTGGCATAAAAGCAAATGGTAGAGGCTCCAACTCTGGCATTAATCATTTCAATTTATGTGTTTTGTTTGTTCTCAAAATATAAACCAGGTGAAATTAGAAAAATACTAAAGATTAATGAAGATATGGTGTATTTCTTCACTTATTTGGGAAATTTTTTGTTATCCCCAGAAAAAAAATTTGTAACGTCTCTGTCCTAGACTTAGTTTATACTGTTCTTGATCTTTATTGTTTAACAATTCAAAAAGTGAAGATGTCAATTCATTTCAAGAGGTGCCACTGGGGGACAAGAAAGGAAAATGGGAAGTTAAGTAAAGACAGTCTTTAAACAAGGAGAAAATGGCCAACTGTAGCAATCATTGACATTCTGCCAAGTAAAACAAGGAGTGCAAAGTGACTACTGAGATTTTTAAATGTGTAATCCAGTTTTGACAATGACAAGAGTTACTTATGCGGAATGTGGGGACAAAAGACCAATCAGGCTGGATTCAAGCAACGATCAGAACATTTACATTGGAGGTAATGAATATAGAGAGGTTTTTTTCAGGGTATATTATAATAACAAGAAGCCTGGAAATGGAGCAGAATCTAGAGGAAATGAGATATCAAAAACATGAGTAATTTCAAAGACTTAGCAGTACAAAAGCAGATCTCTATGCTACAAGCATGAAGGGGGAGAAAAGAGGGAGACCTGATAATTCTGAAAGACAGAGAAATGGCTTGAATAGCCTTGCACATGTTCAGAAAGTAGTATGGCTGTCGAGGTGACATAGGGGCATGGTCTGAGGATAAAACACTCTTCACCCCAAGGAGCACTAGGGAAGTCTGTATTGCAGACAGAGTGACTGATGCAAGCTCTGATACAGTGATAGGAGAGGAATAAAATTTGTTTACATTCCTTTCTTAGTGATATAAAAAGGAAGACAGTCAACTCTCTTGGAGCATGGGAAGTTGGAATGGTGGACACTAATGTAAAGGAATATAGCTTAAGCAAAATGAATTCCACCTCTTGAGAAAATCTAGTTTACTACTAGATAACTGGTTGTCTCATACACAAATGATATGTTAAAATTTTGTTTTCATGTCTACAAAATTAAAGTTAAAATTTATACATTATGTTAAGATACATATTGCTATAAAGTTGTTCATCACATTGGTCCTACCATCAATTAGAAGGAAGATTATGTATGTACAAAGTCCCATCATATCGGTATAACATGATGATAGGTGCCTATAATCCCATAACTTGGGAGGCTAAGACAGGAAACACAGATACTAGTATGGAATGAATTATACAACCATGTCCCAATATAAACAACAACAGCAAAGTAATCAACAACATCCCTATGAATCTCTTATTAACGATTTGTCACCCATGTGGACAAATGACCTGCTGGGTATCTATAGTCACAGAGAAATTTATGGGCAACAAACAATCTAGTTATACAGGCCTTGCTTAGGGGATAAATCAAAGTAAGTCCAAAAGTTACCTTCTGACTTAACTCCATTTATAATTTAGTTTTTCAAATTTTTTTAAACTTGCAGATGTCAAAGATATACTTTCTTTATGTCAGGACCTGAAAATAATCTTGTGTTATAGACATGTTTGTATGTGCTAGGATCTCTCTCTATATATACACATATGCTTTGTATGCATCTTGGCTTTTATTGCCCAAGCAGTCTCTTCAAATGCAGAAATATTAAAAAGTTTAGTCAGAGAGCTCTGTGTGCAACACAAAGAACATTTATTTATTTAATTATTTTTAAACAGAACTATTACACAAACACAGGTAAACTACTCTATCCTGGAGACTGTAAACACTGTTTATGAGAGCAAGGCTATTTAGCTGGTCTATTTGACTCTACTTTATGTAATTTGCTGTCTTTAAGAAGCCTAATGCACATATTTAACTTAGAAGGGTTTTAGTGATAGCCCTTTGATTTTATTTCTTTTTTCTCTTTACTCTTAATTAGCACCAGTAGCTGCTGGCATGCTTCAGAAAGCTTACGTTTGAACAGTCTAAATCGGTGCAAACCCTTGACCAGCTTAATCTTTGCTTGCAAATGACAATGCAGTGAAAGCAGAGAAAAGAAGAAGAGGAAGAAAAGACTACTTCCTTTCCTGTTGGATACCTAATAAGTAGTTAGTCTGACCCAGTTTTCAATAAGAATTATTTTCTGATGACCCGACAGGAGTGACTGTATCTAGTCAAAGAACGGGGGGGGGTGAATTTAATCTTTCTTGCCACTGGAATGGCAGCTGCTCCCAGCTGCCTGAGTCTGTGAAGAATGAGGAAGACATAACTGGCTTACAGTGTGGAGAGAATTTTCCCTTTGAATATTCTGAACGGGAGCCTTGCACATGTGCCTCAAGAACTAATTGTCTAGGTTCCGTCAGGAATGCAGCAGGAGAGGAGCGTATTTCATGCTTAAGACCAGAGAGGAGCCACGCAATACTCAGTGGATAAAAGGCTTGCAGTCCCAGCTGGGAAAAAGAGTCCCATTATCTCCCAGCTGCATAGACATTCCATACGGCTTGGTTCTGCCTGGATGCACAGCATGCCTGGGTGAAGGCTCCAGACAGAGTTCTGCAGAAAAATTGTAAAGATCCCGAGACATTTCCCTGGTAAGATCCGTGAGTACAGAATTGCGCTGTCTGCTGCAATGAGAATTTTGCTGGGCAAGCTGCAGCTTTTCTTGCTTTCTATCTCTTTGTATTAGTATAACAGGTAAAAGCTGGGGTTGTGTGTGGGGGGGGAGTGGCTGTTTCATTGATGCTGTGTTTTTGTGATACTGATGGTTTAACAACATTTATTCCCTGTGGGAGAAAAAAAAATGTATTGGATCTGTACTGGGAGATGTTGGATCAAATCAGGCAAAGTGACACTACAGGTATATTTTTCAGTATTTCACTAGTCTTTGCTGCAGTAAAACTAATGGGCAAGACTGGATGACAGTGCTAATTCTGGTACTTTCCGGTGGCTACACGCCCTTTCTGTAAAGGCAGACAGATCGGAAGATGTGACTGGTATTTTTTTTTTCCTCCAAGGACTGAGGGGTGGGGTTTGCAGTGTCCGCAGATGATTTAAAGGAACGGTTATAAAAGTTTTCTGGGGGAGGGTTTTCACAACTGGAGAAACACGAGTGTGGAGGTCAAATGGGTACAGCAAATTTCCTCTGGCATTTTGGTTGCATCCAGTTTACAGATAATGGCTTGTAGAATCACACTTCTTCCTCAAGTACACCACCTAAGTCTGTTATGATAAGAATCTTAGAATACTTTATGAAAGTTTCAGAAGTTGATGGCTGGGAAGCAAACTTTGCAGAGTTCTCCGATTAGCCACGACATATGGCCCCACTGTTAACGTGAGAGTGTAACACTGGGGATTTGGGGGAGATTGGAACTCAAAATTCTTGTTTCTCCTAATGAAAATTACTTAAGTTTAAATCATCAGCATCCTGACTCTCTCCTCTGAGAAGCATTCACAGACTAGCAAACAGAAGTTATACTGAGGAAGGAAAAAAAAACAGGGAGAACAGTGGCATTTTACAGAATCATTTTGATAATAAGGGATACATGATCTTCTATAGTGACTGTGTTCTCAAAGATAACTATAAACCAAGGAACCATATTTTGGTTATTGAATCTCTTGTTCTAAGCAATTTTCATCTATCCGATGGATTTGTTTATCATTTTAAAACCCATTGTTATTGAAATATGTCGACAATTTATGTCCACTGCAATCTACAATGAAATAATATATTTGACCATTGTTTTCTCTACCCTCAACCAACATGTGTAAATGCATGCATTTCCACAAAGCAAACATATGCCCAAAAATGCTGGCACAATTTGTATAGCAAAGAGAAATACAGTCATTTCATCTTTGATGCTTCACATATTTTTTAGCATAATCATGGCTATGCAGTATAAAGATTTTCAATCAAGAAACTTTTATATAAGGGGCTTATATGAGGTTATATAAATGCATAAGTTATCAGTTCTTAGCAAGAAGCCCATCACTTAAAATCAAATGTGCTTCTTTATTTCCATTGAGCATTTATAGTTAACTGTCATAATTTTATTTTCAAGACATGTGTATAACTTTCTTTAATGAAACTGAATTTACTTCTTTGCTTGGCAGATGATTTGTTCTGAGCTAACCATTCCCAGCCCACACAGAATGAATTATGTTTTTGTAGACAGTATGAAGTATATTAAATTGACTATAGGCTTCTAGTCTTTAGATGAGAGAAAATAGTATAAAAGAAGATTTATTCCTTTTGATTTTCCTTAAAAAAGGACGAGAACTATGAAATATTCACTTAGTTATTTATCTAAATATTTATACTTGTATGTAATGTAGAGTATGGTAACATAAGCTTCAGTCAGTCCTTTGTAAAAATAAGCAAATAAAATATGAAAGCTTAAAAGAGACATCACAGCCTCTAAAAATAACAATCCTGAGGTGTTATTTCTTTGTACCTAAAATTCTCATAATAAGATGAGATGGGGAGAAAGGCACTTTATAGAGAGTGGTTTCTTATACTATAGCCTTCTTGCTAATAATAGGCCGTATTTATTGTGATGGTATCATCATTATTTGACAAATATCCTTGCAGAAGAATTATATTATAATCTATAAAACAAAAGAAGGTAAAGTGATATAAGTGCCCAAATTTCTGTTATATATTTGTTTGCAGTAAAAATACTAGTTTCAGACAAATAATCTATAGTTAATGGACAAAAACTGTGAAAAAATAATGATTTGGAGTCATTTTAATACCTATTTAACTGTTAACCAATTTCCAAAATGCACATCATTGTCAATAGAATCTTTCTTGGAACTCCTCTCAGACCCTTAATTTTGTGATGTTTGGAGGAAGAATTAAAAATTAAAACATGAAAGGATAGTGTAGAAGAATCGTGGGGTTTATTAGCAAGTATAGAATATACTCTCAATGGATGATTGTTGGCAGTGGCTAAGTGGATCATTGGAGAACAGAACTCTCTCAAAGTTTGGGGGGAATGGTCAGAGACATGTTGTGTTCTTTTATATTTCAGATGAGATTTATTTATGTCTAAAGTATATAGTACAGACAAGTTTCTTGAAATGCTTATTCCTGTCTAGGCAATTGACGGACCTAATTGCACTGAATCTTGTTTGTGTGGGGGTGGGTGGGTGGGGGGTAGCATGTAAAGCCACTTATCATACAGTAGTCTTCTAAGGTTCAGGGCTTCAGAACTAGGCTTAGACCATGATCAATTATGAAAATTCTTGGCAGTTGAGCTGCCATGTGTCTTGTCAGGGCAAGATGGCTCAGCTCTTGTACCTCTGAGAAGAAGAACCCTGAAGTTCCAGACCTATTTTTTTCCTTTTTCTTTTATAAGGGAGTAGTCCATTCTTCATGTCCTTACAACTTCTAATGTCTAACCAGTGACATAAAATTTCCTGTTCACTACTTGAGGCTCTGGGATTATGTAGAAGGTTGATATCTGGTCCTAGATGTTCCTGCCAAACAGTGTGTAGAGCAGTTTAAAGTCTCTAATTAAGTTAATTCTCAAGCTTAGTAGGATGTTCAATAGGTAGAAGGTAGGACAATCTAAATTGCTTGCAAAAGAGTAAAAATATGAAGAACAAATAAGCATACCAGATCGAGATTACTCATAAGAACACTATTATTCTATTATTCTTTGAGCCTTTTCTTGTTGTTTTGATAGTAATATAAATCACATACATAATATAATAAACATTTCAGAGGTTTATTATATTTATATTGTATTATTTATATTATTGACATTATGGTAATTACAATACCTTCATTTTAGATTCATTTCAAATTTGAAAGATGTAACACTTTCCCTAACAACATTTATCACTATTTCTTGGGTGGGAGGATTTCACTTTCAGAAAATGTATAACAAGACAGTACAGGTTCAATGTTTGTTGTATGCCCAATCACTATTTTACATTTCACAGTCAACAAAAGTTATCATGTTTGAATCAAGTCATGCTTTCATAAAGACATACATATTTGTAAGCATTCCTACAGACATCTCATATTTAAAGATTTTACCCAGAAATTGTAGCTATTGTCTTATATGACTTGTATTTCTCAGATGAATGGTTTCATGATTCTTCATGTTCATAATTTTTGTTAAAATATTCCTGTAATTGGTTAGTCTAAGACAACAGTTGCTTACCAATAATTTAATATTTTTTAAACTTAAAGTAATATAATTATATTTTACACATGAAGTTCAAGGAAATAATGCAGATGATCTGAAATACTACTGTGGTGGGATTAAGAATATAATCACAATTAAATTACCACTCATTTGTTAAATATAATTAATTAAAATTAATTAATTAATATAAAAGTCATACAACTGTTTTTCATGTAAGTTATTAATGAAAAGTTAATAATATTCATATCAACATAGTGGCTATTACAATTTGTAAGTTATTTAGGTATTGTACATGACCAAATTGAGAAATCACTATCTAAGATTTTATAATCTTAATAGGTAGTATTCATTCTCCAATCTTTCCTTCATCTTTATTAACATTTTATTATCCTATGGCATTTCAAATAAACTAAAAGAATTAAATGCATATTTGTTATGATATGTTTTGTGTATATTTGTACTACAAGAGGGTGTGTAACCCAAAATCATTCATAGGAACTGATTCTCGTTCTTTAGAAAAGGAGCCACTATCCAAATCCTACTTCTGAGCTTTTGTTGAATTGTCAAATAACATTCATTGCAGCAAGTTTTTTAGCTCTGTGTCTTTAGTTTGCCTACCTAATACTGGAGATCATGTACAAACCAAATGTTGCACTTTTCTTTTATTCTTCCTTCCTTTCTTCTGAATCACCACTTGTGACCATGTTGGATCTTAATTTTTCATCTTTCATACCTTTTTAAATTTTTAAACTTTGCACTTTGTTTTATTATTATCTCAATTGATTTGTTATATCATATTTTCTATTATAATGTTCATCTCTGATATCATTTTATTTTCCTCTACAGATTTAGAAATGAATTTAGTAATGAATTCAACTCTTTGCAAAGCATTACGATATTAGGTATTTGCTATATAATCCCTAGTATTTAGAACTTTAATATAATTTTTATACCCACAATATACACCTGCCAGATTTGTTATCTTGAGGTATGTGTCTTCTCACACTTTTCAGCTGAGTCAGTGACCTAAGCTAAAATATTTTAAGTTAGCTGTCTCCATGGAGGAAACTTGTGGAGAAATCTTTCCCTCTCTCAATATTGTCTCCTGCCATTTCCCCAACTGCAGGTTTTTAGATATAATATTGTCTTAAAGTAATAGAGAAACATCTAACAATGACAAAAATAAATAAACACTTACTTGGCAAGTTTTCTCCAATTCCCCATGAAAGTATAAGTTTTTAGTGTTTGGAAACAATTGAAATCTGTTTCAGGTTGTGTGTTTGGCATTGCGCCCACATATATTGTCTCTGGGGTCAGAAAGACTTAGCTGTTTTTGTTTGTATCTTCCCAACACCATAACTATGTTTTTATTCTTTCTTCTCTTTGTTTCTGTAGAACAAGACATGAATAAAAATATCTTTGTTTTGTGAGATTTC